CTCTTACGAATAGGAATCTCCTGACAACTCCCACCTGAAGGAGGGATTGGACTGCTTGTTACAACAGGAGCTTGTGAAAAGGGGGTCTCTGAAGATGGAGGGTGGGTATTGGATGGTGTAATCCAGTTTTATCATGCTGAAAACTGTGAGGTCTAGGTGATATGGATTCAGGCATCCAGGAAATAGGAAAGGCAGTTGGAGAACAGAGCATAGCTGGGTCCAATACGCATGGGATTATGATGACGACCTCAAGCATCTAATCAAAATAAGTGGATGATGTAAGTTTTCTGGGAGCAAAAGGTATAGAGCCTATTGAGGAAGATTGGGGAAGGGACCTGACCCTAAGTCCTGTTTTTCCTCCTCTGTTGGTCCTGCCAAGCAGTCTGTGGGAAGTAATAGCTCATCTGCTATACTACTTCTTTTAACCTGCCGGTACATAAAATCCTCAGGATTTCAGGTAGTCTGGGAGCCCCCCTAAGGCTTTGCAGTCTATCATCTGTATTCTCCAAGAAAAGCAAGGAGCCCTATAATTGGAGATCCTGGATGGCCTGATGCACTTCCTAGGAAAGCCCAGATGACTACAACCAAGAGTCTTTACAAATCGTAACCACAGTTGCCATTGAGCTGGTTAGAGTCAGTGGCATCTGGAACCACTGAGTCACCATCTTTCCTTCCTCGATTATGGAGGAAAGCTCCTGATTGGATTTCTGGGGAGATAAAATTTGGAGAGCTGTCAGGGACTCCCACATATCAAAATCAGGGCTTGCTGGTTAGCTATATAAAGCTGAAGGTGCCCTGACAAGTATGGCTTCTGTTCAAACAGATCCAACTTCTTAAGGTCCCTGGCTTTGGGTGTAGGACCTGGCTGTCCCAGATGATACCACTCATTAGACTTTGCAACCACCAACAACCCCAAGAGGACAGCATGAAAAAAGAAATTCATACCGGCTGGAGGGAACAAAGTATTTCTGCTCTGTAAACTTTGCCATAGGATCTTACTCAGTTCCATAAGGGTGTCATGCAATGATAGAGGGAATCTAGAGGGCCCTGCTGACAAAATAATGTCCAAGAGGTCACGTGTCACTTCCTTGACCACCTCTAGTTGGACCCTCTAGGATTCAGGTACCTGTCATAGTAAGCCTTACTGTCATCTAAGGGGGAGGTTGCTAAAGGAGGCTAATGTTGGAACAGACATTTTGGTTGGTTCCTCAGCATTCACAAGAACCTGCAGGGCTTCCTCCTGGAGTTTGGTGCTGTGTTTGATACCAGAGTCCAATTGTGGGGTGCCCCGGCTTCTTGAAGTAGTCCCGGGAGTGGGGGGAATCTGCACGGTAAGCAGATCCTATAGCTATGATGGGCAGGTGCCTGATGGTACTGAAGAACTTAGTGCCTAGCATCGTGACAGTGGACCAAAGCCATTATTTAGAAGCTACTAAAACTATACTACATTGAAACAGAGAAAATTCACTAAGAGAATGATTGCATAGGCAATGAAGGCTCCAGCAACCATTGTGGGCAGTAAGAAGGAATTAAGGGAATCAAGGTCTCCAGGGCCCTTTGTACAGACACTATTGAGCACAGCACAATACCAGGAAGCACCAGAGCCAATCCAATGGATATTACTACTGGAAAACAGACATGTGCAAACACTTATGGAAGAACTTAATGTTACATTTCCAATTTGTAATGTATTTATTTTTTAATTCCACAAATATTTCTAAGCACTTGCTTATCAGATAATTGACTAGTTGTTCACATCCCTTTGTTGAACCATGGGAGGTCAAGATTGTCTAGCAGCATGACAAATACTTCTGAGAAGACATTTAGGGGTATATTAGAGCTCAACAACAGCACAGAACACTGAGAACCAGGGCCGGTACCTGTAAAACTTTATGGGATTTGGGAAAGTTGGCCACACTAATAATAAGCGGACATCCGACTTACTAAAATTATGCCAGACTACAGATGTTGACAGACTACAGAATGCCGGACTGGAGAGGTTCAACCAGTACAATCTAAAATAATTCTTGTTTGACTCTCCCGCAGTCCTCATCTGTCTGGCTCTTGCAAGGGTCAGGCAGAATATGTACAAATCCCAGAAGTGCAGAGTTTGCTTCTCTTCTCCTGTGGAGAAGTGGGGCTATAGCGCTGCCTTTTCCTCCATGTAAGCTGTGCTTCCCCTTAAGGTATTGTGTTTTCCCAATTCTCTTTGTTCTAAGCCATGCCTAATAAACACAGTATAGACCTAAACAAATAGTAGGGGGATGAAATACCCTTTTACTTGAAAACCTACAGAATAGGGAAAAAATTTCAAATGTCTGAGTAGCTTCCAAAAAAAAAAAAAAAAAAACCAGAAAAAAATGTAAAGAGCACAGAGTCGAGGCCCAGCTAACCAGTTAGGGAGGCCTCAGGCAGGAAAAATGCAGACTGAGTGATGCAGTTATACAGCAAAAAACCCTTCCCACATACTGAAACAAGCCTGACTCTTTATCAAGGCTGATTCAACTACAGTTTGTGTAACAGAATGTGAAACCGTGTTTTTAAAAAGAAGTATCTGAAGATTCTGGCCTAACTTTAGGTCACTAATTACAAAAGTAGTCCATTGCTGTTCTTGACCTATACCTGTTTTAGTGCAGCTAACAACATAACCTGCTGTAGATTATTTTTACCTCTTCTATAATATTTCCTTCAGTCTCTGGCACAGGACTTGTAGAAGAGCTCTCTCTCAGTTTTTTGATAGCATTAAAAGTCTGCAACAAGAAAAAATATTTACATTGTGGCTTTTACATAGCTAACAATTATTATTTCTATTATAATAGTTTATAAAGTTACCACTCATGGACCAGTACCCCTTTGTGCTGCATGCTGTAACATTAGAGACTGCAACAAACAGGGGAAGGATAGCTTAAGGAAACTGACTTTTTCTGGTCATGCATTTCTAAAACTACTGTAATTTAATTGGCTATGAATTGTGAACATTTTACATCATTCATTAAAAACTCTGGAAATAAAACTTAGATTTACCTTCAGTATCCATCTGATCATGTCTTTATGAACTTCCAGATGAGGTGCATTTTGCAAAGTTTCTAGCATAGCTAATATACTAGGAGAATTATTTGGTGCCTCACCAGGTCCTAGAGCAAAGATATAGACAGCTATATTGAGTGTATTTAACCTGTTCATATTGTACTAAGCATGTTATGTTTCAAAATCATTTCATAAGCCGTCTCTAAATTCTATAGATTAAAGAGATAATAGCCTAAACATCCTTCTTTTTATCAGGTTTTCAAGACCAAAGACACTGTCACTTTGCCCCATGGACTAGCTTGGGACTGGTACAAGGAATGAAAGTGATAAACTTACTCCTCACTTCAAAGCAAGAATATGGTCAATTTAATGATTTTACCAGATTACATTAACTAAATGCAAGATGCAATGGAGGGATAACAAGACACTTATAGCAAATATATTGCTATAATTCCAACAGACCACGTGCTTGGTTATTAAATCAAGGAGCAGGATTTAAGATGGTTGCAATATTAATTTAGTTAATTTGTAGTAAACAAACAAAAATAACTTAGTGGAATATTTTAGAAAAATGGTAATTTTATAACAAGATACATTTTTGAGCTTATCAAACATGATACTATCCCCACTTTTTTATAAGAAAAGAACTACAATATCGTTAGGTATTTCAGAACCTAAACACGCACACGCACACACACTTTGTATGATGGATTATTTTTGTAGAATTCTATACTTTTGTAGTCTTTTGTGTGTGAAATTATATACAATCAACCTTAAATACACATACAGCCTTAAAACATATTAAAAGCGTCTTTTTAAAGTACCCTTTTAATGCATCTTGATTCAGAAAGGCAGAAGAGATTTATATACAAAATATTAGAGATAGATATTCCTGATTTTGAATCTGGAAAACATTTGGAGGTATGGACATACTTGAGATCTTCTGAGTGAAGGTAAACGTTACAACATTCTCTTCATTGAGATTCTCTAGGTGTTGTTTTTCTTCTTGTAGTGCCATTCCAATCAAGTGCAAAACCTAAATAATATCACTAATTTCAGATCTTGTATCAAAAAACACTTTATACAATCCCTGAAGGTCTCAGGGGAATTAAAAACATTATACTGAAAAAGAAACAACTAAGTAAAAAGCAAAATCACAAGAAAGTAAACTTTTTATACTAACTACCCAGATTGCCTTAGAAGCTTAGTTGTGTCAGTCCCAGGATATCAGCAAGGCAAGACAGGTGATATATCTTATTGGATCAACTTCTGTTGGTGAAAGAATCTTTTAAGCCATACAGAAACCTGAAGAAATGCAGAAGATGGTCCAATAAACAGTACTACCACACCTACCCTGTTTCTCTAAGATCATCTTTGGTGTATCTGTTTTAATTATGAAGACTTATTTGAAATAAATTCTTATTATTGTACTCAACTCACTTATTTCTATAGTAACTGGAGTTCTTTGAGATGTGCTGGCCCTCTGGCTACTCTACCTTCAGATGTACATAATACAGTGCATTCTTGGGGATTTTTAGTTGGCAGCAGCCACAGGTCCAGAGGTTTACATCTATGCCTTCATGCTCCAATGCAAGTGTGTATAAAGGAAAAAGCAGACCTGCCACAACTCCAATTCCTTCCCAACCAAAAACTCAAAAAATCTCTGCAGCAGAGGGGAAGGTAAGATGGAGCATCAATAGGGGAAATATATCTTGAAGAATTCCAGATATTGTATGAGTAAGCAACTTTCAGTGTTCCCTAAGTTATGGTCCCTATGTAAACTACGATACCCAAATGAGGAAGTGAGGACACAGATTAACAGAGCCAGACATGTACCCAGAAGCCTCCTACTACAAGACAAGCCCAAGAAAGAAACCAACAGAACACCACTGGCCATCACTTACAGTCCGCAGCTAAAACCTCTCCAACACATCATTAGTGATCTACAACCCATTCTGGACAATGATCCCGCAAACCTGAAGCATATTCTCATCAGCAACTATACACCGCATCATAACAACTAACTCAGGAACCAATGCATGCAACAAACCTCCGTGCCAACTCTGCCCACATATATACACCAGCAACACCATCACAAAGGACCTAACCAGATCAGCCATACACTCACTGGTACATTCTCCTGCCCATCTACTAACGTAATATATGCCAGCATGTGCCAACAATGCCCCTCTGCTATATATATCGGCCAAACTGGACAGTCCCTATGTAAAAGAATAAATGGACACAAATCAGATATTAGGAATGGCAATATACAAAAACCTGTAGGGGAACACTTCAATCTCCCTGGACACACAATTGCAGATCTAAAGGTAGCCATCCTGCAGCAAAAAAACTTCAAGACCAGACTTCAAAGAGAAATTGCTGAGCTACAGTTCATCTTCAAGTTTGACACAATCAACTCAGAATTAAACAGACTGTGAATGGCTCGTTAACTACAAAAGCAGTTTTTCCTCTCTTGGTATTCACACCTCCAGATCAGCTACTAGAAGTGGGCCTCATCCTCCCTGATTAGATCCACCTCGTCATCTCTAGCCTGATTCTGGCCTGCATATTTATACCTGCCTCTGGAAATTTCCACTACATCTGACAAAGTGGGTCTTTGCCCAAGAAAGCTTATGCTCCAATACACCTGTTAGTCTATAAGCCCTATGGGCACTCTACCTTAAGAGATTCCCAAGCAGAGCTTCCACATGGAGATGGGTGCTGATGTCAGAGGTCAGGAGGCAGATTCAGGATAATTCAGATAAAAGTATTGCCAGAGGCCCTATCCACCCTGGAGTACTTGGAGAACATATGAATGGACAAGCAGGTGCTGACCCTGCAAATGTTCACAATAGGCATGTCTTTAAGAAGGGCTATCAAGATGGATGAGCTCTTGGGGGAGGCATGTGCCCCATTTTATAAAGCTTATGGAGTATATGCTCCAGAAGTTTTGTAATAAGCTAAAATGCATTCGGAAACACATTTCAATCGCCTCTGGGTAGAAATTTGTTGTTCCTTTATCCTTTTAGCAATGGAGACAAAGAGTTTAGGAGAGGCCATGAAAGGTAGGAAGCAAACACCTCTCATATACAGGTAATCTTCCTTTCAGAGTACTTCATTTCCAAAGATGGCCCATGGTCTATTTGCCAAGCTTGAAAATCACTGGAACAATCTGAGCAGTGAGGCCAATATATGGAGAGGGTGTAGGATCCCATCTCTCTCACAGAATGCTCCATTATCTTTCCTCGGTTTGTCATATCTGCTCTTAAATCCAGAGCAGACCTTGCACTTAGAGGGGACATGGGATTCTCTGAAGCATCTATAATGTCCTTCACTGAGGGGAAAGACCTGTGGCAGGTCTTCCACAGTTGAAAATCCAGGATTTGTGGTATAATCCAACCAGGGAAATCCCAGATAAACATCCAGGAGGAAGAAGACCTGACTGCAAGAAGACTGAAGGCAGAGAGGAGGACCCCCCAAAAACATAAGCCTGTGTTTAAAACAAAAAATCTGTGATCAAGAGTGGATGGGAACACATACATCCTAAAATTAAGTACCCACTGTGACCTGGATACGAAGAAAAAACATGGTTTGAGTTAATCACAACTGGCATCTATTGTATTTCTTAGTTTGCTGGGGGACTACATATTGTTACGGGGACTTCACATAAAATGCATGCAACAAACTTTAAACTACTTTGCCCTAACACTGAGGAAAGTTAACTGAAAAAAACAAAACGTGAACTATAAAAATGTAGCTCAAACTTTAAGATTGAAATCAAAATCCTTATCCAGCTAGTTGCCAAATTTGTATATGGTGCCATGTTTATCTGTAAATACAAACTGTACAAACTGGCCATAAAATGGCTCA